CATCTGTCTGATCTTGAATTGCAAAGCATCTTAGTTCAGGATCAGAACACCATCCCTTCCTTATCTTTTTTAAAAAACCAAAAAAATCTCTTTTCTTTCTAGCTCGAACTTGACAAGCAGAAGATCCAGGAGGAACAAGAAAACGCCCCCGAGTTTGTGAAGGTGAAGGGCAACTTGAGAAGAACGGCCCAGGAATCCTCGGAAGCTCCAGACTCGTAGAGAAGGAACTTCTTTAAGACTTGAAGCTGCAGCTCCGGTGGGCGGTGGGGGAAGTGACTTCTGCAAGACGTCCTGCACCCATTTCCCCCGGAGCTGATGAAAAACATGGTCAATACAAGGTCAATTTCTGGATCCTGTGTGAATCGATGACTGCGTAGAAGTCAAAACCTGCCAGTAATAATACGGAGATCAGAGGATAAACAAGCAACCAGCTTCCCCTATCAAACATGAGATGGAGAACCTACTTGAGTAGCTGGGTTGCTTACTTACTCCTGATCATGCTTAAGTGAGCATCTCAGGCTAGTATGTCTGCATTATTTTTCCCCCTTCCTCATTCCTACTTTGTGGAATTCTGCTATGCAGAAAAAAAAACACAAAGTGCTTTTTGAGACCACTTTTGAGTGACGGTCTGTGTGGAAAACGTGGCTTCAGGAATGGAGCTGTCCATCCAGATCTTTTGTGTAAATAGAAAGTCCTTTAGACTTGAAGCTGGATTTCCCCCCATCTATCTCAAGTGGGCAGGGTGGGCCACCACAGCTCTGAGGAAGGAAGGAAGGAAGGAAGAAAGAGAGAGAAATGCAATATTCTCAGTCATTAGATGGCTAATATACTTTTTTTTTTTTTTTATCATTTCTGCAGTTGAAAGGAAAGGGATATTTGCAATGTTTGCAGTGCAACACTCACAGGTTCACTAAACTCTCTTTCCCCCCCTCTCTCCACCCAACCTTGATAAGCAACATTTTTGATTCTTCTGACAAATGCCAAGGGTTGCTAGAGCTATGTTGCAGTTGATGTTTATTTTGATCAGGGTTTCCAAAAACCATACAGCTGGGTTTCTGATTCTCAGCTGTATTGCTTTGGACCCCAAACATTTTATGGGACAGCCTGAGAATCTCTGGGTCAGAGAAGGAAGCAACAACCCCTTAAAAAAATACTTCTGTGCACCATTTTTCATCCCCTGTGCAGATTTGCTACTTTTTTTTTTTTAAGATTAACGAAACCAGGCAAGTGTGGAATAATATTGTTAGAGCTTGACCAGGGACTGAGATTTTTTTTTTTAAACAAACAAACAAACAAACATGAAATTATCTTTATTTTCTTTCTTCTCCATGAAATCCAGTTACATTTCCACCTGGAAGTAAGCCCGTTAATGCCAGAGGAACTTACTTTTCGACAAATGGAAATAAGATTGTAGATTAATTTATCTCGGTATTTTTTTTTTAATTGTCCGCCATCCGATTCTTGTCTCATTCCTGTTTTCAACTAGTTAGAATTCTAAGAAGAGGCCAGGACAAAACGATGGATTTTCAGGAAAAATCTTAGGGTGGGACTTTCCTCCAACAGTCCTAAGCTTCAATTCGTCCAGTTGCATCTCCAGTAGAGAAGTCAAAAAAATTCAATATGGCAGCCGTGACCATGTGACCAAAGCCCCTCCCCTTTCTGCATGGGACCAAAGAAGCACAGCTTTGATCACATCGTTTCAGCCGCCATCTTGAATTTTTTTTAAAATCCCCCCCCAGACAATCCTGAATTGGCCCAGTGTTCCTGACTAGATTCAACCATCTTTTAAAATGACCTCTTGATAGTTGATCCTTTATAATAATTCAGAGAGCAAGCCATCGTTTCCTATGGATTTTTTTTCTCGTAACTCCAGGAAATCCAGCTACTTACTCTGCTGGCTGAATTTTGTGGGGGGTTAATGGGATTTTAGTCTAGTCCATCAAAAAAACTTAATTTGGGAATGCTTAGCCTGTTATATCATCCGTGTCACGTGAATTCAAGGTGGCGTTTTATTTTATTGTTTTAAACCTTAGTTTCAGAAAACCACTGAACCTTGGACCCATGCATTGTGGAAGCAAAGCTAACTTGGATAGGGAGACCTTCTAACAAGGATGATCAGGGTAGCCTAATCTTAATTTTAGTTCATTTCTGTGAGTGCTTGTCACATCTGTGTGATATTTCTTGCACTTGTTCGTTGGGGGATACGAATGGCTGTCAACCCTCCGAGCTAGTTTTTTAGTAGTGATCACAATAGGTAGGTAGAAAATTAGCAGTACAAATTCCCATTCAATAACTACTTAAATAGGGTCAGGTCCATTTCATCCTCCTTTTGCAGTTACATCCAAGCAAAATCCTTGACAGGGTTTATATTAGTTGACATCTCGAATAAGTGACCTATTTAGTCCTTGCTGAAGGCATTAGAACTGTGTTAAACTGATTCAGCCCCATTTCTTGGGACCGACAACAAGCAATTTTCCTTTGGTGTGAAGCTTCCCAATCTGTCAGGATCCCAGGTTTTTTTTTGCAAATAAAATCACATTATCCCTCCCAGCCAACAAGAAAAAGGTTTCTGGGAGATTTAATTGACTTCTAATTTAAATCCTGAGACAAGTTACTGACTTGGATTTATAGGTTTGTGTCTTTTAGAATGACACACACAAAGGGCTTGATAGAATATATATATATATTGGTAGATTGCTTTGCCACATGAAGGGGAAATGGGAGAGCTTGATTTTTGTGAAGGTGAGTTTCTCTTGCCACACCCATAGGTGACAATTCCAGCTTTAATTTCTTTTTGGGGGACCACAGACGATTAGATTGTACACCGTTAACCACTAACGTTCCCCTTCTCTACATTAATTTGGTCACTGCAGGAAGAATTTGGAGGTAGTGGGAATACTCTGGGTTTTCTTCTGGGGAAAGGAATTGCCTTAATAGATCTTATCCACTCCTGTGTCTTTCTAAGCTATGTCATTTAATTCATCCCGTAAAAGTTTTAGAGATTCCAATTCCATAACCACTTCCTGGCTCAGTGGGTATCAAAGAATTTACAGCACTTGGTATCACAATCCCCAATGAATTTTTGACCCCTAGTCCTTTGCATATCATAGTCTTCTTCAACTTCATTGAAACCGGACCGTCTGAATGAACAAATGAGCATAAATCTGCTCCTGGTTTAGTGATGAATGAAATCAACTGGATTTTTTTTTTTGAATGTTTCCTAAAACAATGGAAAAACAAATTTTGCAGAACACCCTGCACAATAGATGTTGGGAAATAGTGTTCCTCTAGTACAGGGGTAGGCAGCCTTGGCTCTTTTATGACTCGTGGACTTCAACTCCCAGAATTCCTGAGCCAGCATGGCTCAGCTTGGAAACCTTTTTCTTTCCCCTCAGAATGGCTGGTTCAGGAATTCTGGGAGTTGAAGTCCACGAGTCATAAAAGAGCCAAGGTTGCCTACCCCTGCTCTAGTAGAATGTAACTAATATTTTGGGTCATCGAAGCAGTCTGCGAGATTTTTTTTTATTTCTGTTTTGCATAGGAATCCACAATTTTGTTTTGAGTCAGTGTGACAACACCAGAACCATCAGTGTAACATCAAGCCAGCTTTTAACAAACACCTTGGCGTTGTTCAGCTCTCTTTATTAGCAGGGAGCAATCAAGATTGTGATTATAACTGATACCATTGTACCATTTTTCAGAAGTGTACCTGAATATCTTCCGCTGACCTATTTTAATTTAAAAGTGATATTGTCTCCTTGTAGAAATTTTTGTCTTTTTAAACGACCAATGCTTTTTAAAAGAGTTTTTAGCTGGTTAAGGTGGCAAATTAGTGTTGCCTCCCAATTCTTTAGGTTAGGCCATTCCTTCATGTCTTTACTTGTTTCCTGGTGTACATGTATAAATATTAAAAAGGGAGCCTTAAGGGGATTGGTTTTCATAATTTAATATTTTTTGTATTTTGCTCTTGCCTACTTGTTTTTAACAAAGTGTTACGAAAATGAGGGTGGAATTCTTAGAACCAAAGTTACTACTTAATAAAAATGTATTACATGCTTGGAATATGCACTGGCGTGGACATGTGGCCTCTGTCTCTGTGGTGTTTAATCTTCTGTTTTGTCACTTTAAAACTGTTATTTTTTTTGCTCTTCTAACAGCAAATGTTTTCAAAATCTTGTGCAAAAGCAAGGTGTCACTGTTAAGCAAAATATATATATATATTTTAGCAAAAGTGTTCAATTGCTCTACTTCCCTCAGTAGAAGCTTGCTTTAAACCAGGGGTCTTCAAACTTGGCCCTTTTATGACTTGTGGACTTCAACTCCCAGAATTCCTCGGCCAGCATCCCTGTATGTATTCTGCTAAGCCACCGTTACCCAGCCACATTGTGGCTTAGGTCGCACATGATCATGTTCACTTAATTGGCTTAGCCAGTGTTTGCCGGGCCAGCCCACAAATGTCCTATGTTTCAAAGGTTTGCTTTTCTTGGGGAAACACAGCAAATGCTGCTGTTGTGTCATCATGTGTTCACTTTGGACCTAAGGCTTCCCTCTCCTAATGTAGCATCCTTATCTCAGTGTTTGCAGATAACCGACCTGGGAGAAGAAAGAGGTTTAACAAACTAAGAGAGAAGAGGAGCTGAAACCCGTGCTGAATATATATAGCTACCCTATTGTCAACTTCAAGGGCCATCATCCCCGAAAGAGGCACAGCCTAGTTTGTGAATTAGCCTAACAACAGAACCATTGGTTAGGGCAGGGGTAGGCAACCTTGGCTCTTTTATGACTCGTGGACTTCAACTCCCAGAATTCCTGAGCCAGCATGGCTCAATTTGGAAACCTTTCCCTTTCTCCTCAGCATGGCTGGCTCAGGAATTCTGGGAGTTGAAGTCCACGAGTCATAAAAGAGCCAAGGTGGCCTACCTCTGGGTTAAGGGTTACTGGCAATTTTATTATTATTTTTTTATCCCTAAAGAAGAAGGTTCAGGAGGACAACGCAAAAGAAGACCCTGACTTGCTCAGCACAGAGAATTTAACAAAAAAAGTGTAAAAAACTCTCAAAAAAGTTACAACATTGAAATAACACAAATAAGATGGTTTGGATATTACATCATCAATATATATGTTCTAAGCAGTTAGTGTTCAGTCTGATCCCATAGCAATATGCATATACAGTAGTTCTTTTCCACCAATTAAAACATGGTGCCTGGAGGTGGAAGCGA